CGGAGCGGCTGGTAGTTTTGAACCGCTGACTACCAGAATAATCTTTATAAAAAGCAAATTGAATGTCAATCCTCAGCTTTAAAACCTACTAGTGGCTTCTTGTCACCTACAAGACAAAGGCTAAACTTCTGAGCATGACAACCAAAGACCACTGGGATTGCTCCTTCCACTTTCTCACTTTTTGTCCTTGTTGTTGTTGTTGTTAAGTGCCATTGAGATGGTTCCAAACCACGGCAACCCTGTTTCTGAGGAACGGCTGGTGGGTTTGCCAACCTTGTGGTTCAAATTGACCTTGTGGTCCAGTTGCATTATCCTGCAGCGCTACATCAGAATTCCTTCCATCTTTATAAATTTGACATTTCACTTTTAGTAAAATAATCACAATTCCAAGAATCCACCTTCAAGTTTTATGCTCAAAGGCTTCTGAATGTGTTGTTCCCTCTACAACCCTGGGTCCCCCTGTTGACCAAGTCTAGACGTAAGCATCACCTCTGGATTCCTGGAGACTGAGCTGATCACTGTGCGGTCATGCCATGACTACCTTCTGCACCATTCATTGTATCGAAGACTTATTTCCACCACCCACCTGTCAGTTCCATCACTCACCTCTCATACAGTGGTGGCTTGTGTGTTACTGTGATGTTGGAAGCTATGCCACTGGTATTTTAAATGCTAACAGGATCATTCATGGTGGATAGGTTTTAGTGTACAAACAGCTGCAAATTAACATTCATTAACATTCGCACGCCTATTGGGTGAAACCAAACGGCCATTACTTGTCTGTCTGTTGTACGGTGGTGGCTTGTGAGTTGCTGTGATTCTGAGGACTATGCAACTGGTATTTTAAATAACCAGCAGGGTCACCCATGGTGGACAGGTTTCAAATGAGCTTTTAGACAAAGACAGACTAGGAAGAAAGAGTGACAAACTACTTCCGAATCTTTAGTCACTGAAAACCTTATGAATAGCAGAGAAATGTTGTCAGATACAGTGCTGGAAAATGAGCCCCTCAGGTGGGAAGGCACTCAAAATGCGACTGGGGAAGAGATGCCTCCTCAAAGTAGAGTTGACGCAAATGGAGTTAAGCTTGTGGGAGAAAAGCCCACAGAACCTTCTTTTGCTGATGGGGCACAACTCAAAACGAAGAGAAACAGCTGTAAACGTCCATTGAAAATCAGAACATGGAATGTACGAAGTATGAATTTGGGAAAAAATGGAAGTTGTCAAAAATGAAATGGAACGCATAAACATCGATATCTTAGGCATTGTTGTTGTTGTTAAGTGCCGTGGAGTTGGTTCCGACTCATAGCGACCCTGTACAGGGTTTCCAAGGCTGTAAATCTTTACGGGAGCAGGATGCCTCATCTTTCTCCCGCAGAACAGCTAGTAGTTTCAAACTGCTGACCTTGCGGTTCACAGCCCGATTCGTAACCACTACGCTACCAGAGCTCCTTATCTTAGGCATTAGTGAGCTGAAATGGGCTGGTATTGGCCATTTTGAATCTGA